CACCTGGTCCTCGCATCCGCGAGTCACCCCAGAGCAGGGCACCGCCCCTCTGGGCGGCTCAAGCCCATGATTTCTGTTCTGTGTCCTCTGCATTTTCTTACGGAGCCGGGGAAGGAAACGGGGTCTCAAGTGACACGATCTGAAATTTTAAAGGGTCCGAGATCTTTAAACGGATTCTCACTTGCCGCCTCTCCCAAATTTTACGACAGAGTGGCTCCCCCTTGAAGAGCCTGTGGGGCTTTGGGGTGGCACGCAGGGGGAGGGCAGGGGCCAGCGCCCTTCTCGCTCAGCTCCTGTCAAGGGCCCGTCTCCACGGCGCAATTCTGTTACTTATTTTACAGTCGTCATTTCCTAGGTCATTCCAGGGACACGATTTGCCACTCGCCGCAGAGTCCGAAGAGCATGATAGCCGTGGTTCAAATCTATTAACCTTTCTCTGTGTGTTTGGAAGCCATTAGCAGGGCTTTGGCCTAAGCCGCCCGTGGCAGAATGGTAAATATTGAAAGAGCAATCTTGCCATCTGAAGTGCTTCTGCCCTGGACAAATGTTTGCTCAGCCGTGGCAGTGCCGGGTGATTACTCGACCTGGAGCAGTGTCACCGTCCAGGGCCAGGGGGAGGGGAGGGGGGCTTCCGGTCAGGCGAGAAGGGGCAGGAGCAGCCCCCTCGGCCTGCCTGGAACTGCCCGTGTCCGCCCCTGTCACACCAGGCAGCGGAACAAGCCGCAAGGAGAAAACTGAGAAGAGGTCACATCACGCTGACGGTCATTTACCAGACGACGACCCCAGGGAGTTGTGAATGTCGCCCAGGAGAGGCTTTGCTGGTGGCCCATGGAGAGGCCTTGCTGGCGGCCCGGGAGAGGCCTTGCTGGTGGCCCGGGAGAGGCCGTGCCGTCACAGGGCGGCCCCCGCCCCGGGGGCTCCGTGAGGCATGCTGGTCGGTGGCCTGTACCCCTATTCTTTCGCGGCACCCCGACTCTCTCCTCCAGTCAGCTTGTGTTCACAGCTGCTACCCCCACCTTATTTGGAGAGGTCAAGGGACCAGTTTCTGAAGGGGTTAAACTGCTCTGAGTCACGATTTCTCTTGTATTTTATATCAAACGACTTCCCGGATAAAGCTGACTCCAGGTAGATGGACCCACAGTCTCCAAAGATCCTGGTGGGCGGGAGCTTGGTCTCCGATCTCTGCCTTTCTGCGACGGCCTCTTCCGGAGCGTGCCCTGTGTCCTCCGTGCGGGCCTCTCTCCGGGGTCCCAAGCTAGGTGGCTATTCGAAGTGTCCTCTGGGCATCTCCATCCACCTGGGTTTCCTGCTCTTGCCGGAGCTCAGTGTGTCCCAGACTGTCCTCGTCCCCCCCCGACCCAAGCCCCCTGACCACAGGGAGTCCCCCTGCAGTGGCTCCGGGCTGCGCCTCCCCCGAGCCCCCGCCCACGGCCCAGCTTCCTCGCCCCGTCCTCCTCAGGCCTCTTCAGGGTCCTCTATCTGGCCTCCCTGCCTTCCGAGTGCCACTCCCGTGTGCGATCTGCTACCTGTCCTCCAGGTTCAACCGAGGACGGTCTCCCCGCTGCCGACCCCTTGCGTAGTCCACCAGCAAATGAGAGAAACCTCTCGGCCCAGCCATTGTCCGGGCCCCCCCAAGTGTGGGCCTCCCGATGGGCCCACAGACCGACCCCAGGTGCTCGTCAGGCTGGAGTCCCACCCCGCCCCACCCCGGCCAGTCCCGCCTGTCCCTGGGTGTTCGTGGTGGCCCTCCCCTCCGCCCGGCCCACCCCACCCAGTCCCGACGGCCTCCAGCACCAGTCACACGCCGCCTCCCAGCTCCTCCAGGGTTTCCCTCCAGATCTCTACAGCACGTGGCGGTCCTCCTCTGCCCCATCACGCCTCCTTGTCTTCCTCTTGGTATCACAGTTACTGATCTGCACGTCTCGCTGCGCACATGGGCACACGCGCCCCCCACGCCCTGCAGTTTGGGAAAAGCAGCAGCTGTGCATTCTCACTCGAGCAGCTACCTACGTGGCCTGGCGAGTTCCTGGCCCGTTCTGGGCTTGTTATAAGTGACCGATGCTCAACTCTGTCAAATTGAATTGAATTCTGTATCTCGACTGCCAGGTGCTCACTGAATGCCAGCCCTCCTTACGACGTGTGACTGCAGTCCCCTGTCCCCAGCCTGGCCTGGAAGAAGGCCTCGCGGGGTCGGCTGGACTGGAGAGCCTCGTCTCTAGGCAGGTCTTTTGCTTAAAACTCATCTCGAAGTCAGCAGTTGTTGGACAAGCACAATGATGCCACACACAGCTCTGGGAACCATTTCCCAGCCAGATCGACCAGGCTCGAGGGGCTTCAGTTAGACCAGTGCAACCCATTTTTATCCAGTTACTGTAAAGGTGACCTTGGTGTGGAGCAACCTAGCTGGCACTTCCGGCTCAGAACAGACGGGGCCATGGGACACGGACATATCCCCAAAGCGAAAGCCTGGGAGGTGTGGCGAGCCCGCCAGCCGCCCAGCTGTCTCTAGATGGTGGTGTCAGGCCGAGCCACCCAGTGGCTGCCCGAGGCCAAGGAGCGGTGATGCCCCAAACGTGGTCTCACCGGAGCTTCCCCCTGGGAATGACTGAGGGGGCGAGGCGAGGAGGGAGTCTGGTTCTCTCCGCCACACGCGTGGCCGCTCACTCACTCACATGAGGAAAGCGGCGACCCACGTGGGAAAACTCCCAGGCTGAAGCCGTGATTCCCACAGGCAGAGCGCGCGTCCGTTCACTGAGACCTGTCGCGACGTCACTGCAGTCACCCCGAGGTGGAAGGCGTGGGACCGAGCGAGAGGGGCGGCCCGCTGGGGACACCCACGCCACCGCTCCGGCCGCGAGTTTGCTCGCTGCTACAAGGACCGTGCGTTTCGTGGACAGCAGGGAAGTACAGCTGCTTTTTGATAGAAAACGCTAAAAACCATTCACTGATAAACGGAAGTACTTGCATGACCTCCTCAGGCCCCTTCCCCAGCACGAGAGCATGTGCGTGTGTGCACACTCACACACACACTCACGCGCAGCACTCACACTCGCACACGCACACAACTTTCTTGAGGTCATCCAAGGGTATATATGTATATATATGTATCTTGGCATATATATATATATATTGTTTTTTGTCTAGAGAAGCCGAGTGTAATCGTTATTTACATATTCGTCTGGCTCTCCACCTGTGTCTTGTCGTGTTCCCCAAAGGACTTAAGATGGCTTATGGGGACATGTAATGTGGCAGGAATTTAAGTTAGAAGTAACGTGAAAGGAGGAAAAATACAAACAGATGAAAACACAGAAGACAGAAAAAGCAAAAGTGCGATGATCTCTACACCTGTGAACCATAAATTTGCCCCCAAGCTCCAGAGGCCAAGTCTGAAGAGAAACCTAGTCGGTCGTATAATTCTCGTGCAAAGAGGGACTTTTGTGTTCGCCTGAACCACCCGAAGAGCTCCCAACACCAGAATCACTCCGGCCCGCCAGCAGGATTCCAAATTCTGCCGATCTGGTGATCACGTGTCCACCTTAAGAAAGGTTGCTCCCACCTCTGGATCTCTCCGATCCTACCTTTCATCAGGTGGAAGGTCCGGCGATATTATTTAACACCTGAGAACCTAAGCAAGTGAAAGGAATTTAGAATGGAGACCCTCGTTGCCTCTCAAAGCTCCAGCAGCCCCACAGATGAACCCCCTTTAGGCCGCCCGGGCACCCCAGCTCGGAGGTAGCTGGACCAGCTGCTGCCACCTGCGGTCAGGAACGCGAAGGTCCTTTGCTGGCTGAGAGCCTGACCAGTGATCACGTGACTCTGCTTCTCTCCCACCGCTGCTCAGCACCTCACCGCTGCCTCCCTCATCCGAGCGCGAGCAGGGGGCTGGGCATAGGCCGCTGTGCAGCACCCCGCCTTTCAGGGTGGGGGTGCAACAAGCTCCCAGGGAGGTGAGCAGGCGTGAGTCAGTGTTTTTATTATTGGTCGATTCTTTGACGGGGCACAGAAATCTGTTGGTGGAAGAGTGTTCCCAGTGTGGTAGCAGACACAAACGTTTCACTTTCTGGGTGTTTCTGACTCATGAACCCCCTTTTAAAGCTAAAGCTGGAAGAGGATCGAAACCCAGGCTGCAGTGTGAGCAGGGGATCCACGGCTCTGCCGAAGGGAATGGGAGTTGACTCGCAACACAGAGCGATTCGATTTGTGAAAAAATCGCCCTGGTTTTAGCACTGTATTATTAAACCCAAGTATGGGCTAATGAGGTTATTTGAAGGAAAGATGTCTGCACAGATGATTCTCCGTGTGTCGTCTGCCATCTAGCGGTAGTTTGTGGAAATAAAAGCAGCCGGTACAGTAATTTTCAAATCCGTCTCATCTGGTGGCAAAAGGGTCACTCAAAACCATCTTTCAGTTTTGAGACAGCAACTCATACCGCGAATCCCTCCGAGGTCTGTGGAGGTGGGAGGGGCGGGTGGGTGAGGGGGCCGCTTCTAAGAACCGGGGTGCTTCTGGGAAGTAGCTCAGGGCAGGAAACAGTTCTCGGTTCTGGCGACCCACTGTTTCATCTGGGAAACCTAAAAACACAGAGGGCCAGGCCACACCGCAGACCGGGAAGATCTGATTCCCTCAGGTGGGACCCAAGCGACGCGTTTAAAAAGTCCCAGGAGATTCTCGAGGGCAGCCACGGCAAGGACCACTACTTGATGGGTTAAGACGGTGGACCCAGCGCTTTTGCTTCGTGAGTTTCCTGCTTGTCACCTCGGGCAGGGAAACTGGGTGATTAAATCACATCCTCGTGCCTTGTAAGATGAGGACAATAATCTCTCCTGGGGACACCGTCGGGATTAATATGATCGTGGATGTCAAGTGCTTAGCTTAATGCCCGATGTGCTCAACAAATGCTAAATATTATATTTCTTATCAAGGGAAATGTATTGTGAGTTACGAAAAGGAATAAGCAAAAAAGTAGTTTAGACTATAACCCCTAATAATGGAAATTTCAATTACACTTTTTATTTAAAACTTTATTCATAATAATCTTAATTAAAATAAATTGAATTGCAAAACAACCTTAGAATAATACAGTGAGATGTTTTTACTGCACACGACCAAAGGGCACAAACACACAATTATAATACTCCGAGCTTAGAATCATATACATTTACTGTATTAGGTGGACACAAGACAACTCCGTTCCTTGAAGACTTTATAGAAGCGCGTTTCCTTTCCTCAAACACAAGGGTCACATATGCCTGTGACAAACCTTGGTAGTTTATTCACATGCCAAGGACAAGACTAAACAATAAATTAACCTTTACAAGTCTCTATGAACCAGAACGATTTTCTTTTTGAGTTTGGTAAGCCAAAGACTAAGGAGTATTTAAAGGCCGATGAGAGAAACCAGTGGCAACAGAGTTACATGAGGACTCTGAGAAAGAAGAAACAGTTCCACTGTCGATATAATTTGTCTGCCAAGTTCAAGGTTCCCGGGCTCAATCAGATCAGTCTGAACATGGGACTTGAGAGGCATCCAAACAAATGCTGTCACGCAGCGTCTTGGAAAATACGCTCACTGCAGATATGCCCACAATAACGAATGCATCTGGCAGCATGGTAATTGAAATGCTATGGAGATGAGATGTGAAAAGCAATGGTAATGTGAACTATTCAAAGGACTAGGAAATTTTTACTTCAAAACCTGAAGAAAAAAATGCGGAACGGTGAGCTCATTACTTTATGTATCTGTTATAACGAGGAATTGCTACCTTCAAAATACCCATTCTTTAGATGCTGTTTTGGATGGCCAACTATTTGTCAGGTACTGTGCTGGGTGCTACACATATACAGATGCACAAAACAAGGTTCTTTGCAAAGAAAGACACCTTGCTGTAAGAATTCACCATACTTCTTACACATTCAATTAAATATGGCTTTTGAATCTAAAGAGAAATTTTGTTCCCAAAAAGTGAACTTTCTAATTAAAAATGCTTAGGGACATAGTCAAAATTTCAGAGGCTCATACAGACTTAGAAACTCTAAATTGCTAGTTGATTACTTCAGTTGATGTGTGATTCCTAGCTCATCAATAGCCTGTGTATTTTTCCCAAAGCACATTCTTATGCACAAATTTTTTTCAAACAATGAAACAAACATTTCATCTATTCTTGCATACTAGTCTTAGTAAAATATGGAACAAGTAGCAATTTTTCATCCGGACATCGAAGACCATTTAAACCAATCACGTTATACAACCGAAACGGGGATCCTACATCCTGAACGCCATCATATGTCAGCGAATCTGTGATGCCTATGCGAGCCGGCCTGTCGTGATTAATTGTCATCGTCTCTTTGAAAAGGTACTATCTGAATTTCTTTGGCTATCCTTTCTGCTAGGGTTTTACTGCCTGCGGCAATTATTCTTCGTGACATCAAATCAAACGGTCCACCTAAAACCAAATCAAATAAGGAAAATGGTCACATCTCGTACAGAAAGAATCCCTCTGAAACTAGTGTAGTGTACGTGCTCTGGTCGATCATGCGTTTTAACGCTTTCGGTGTCTTTTTAAAAGGCCACTCTGTCACATAACCATACTGTTTAAGGTGTGGCAATACGACACATAAGAGAGTTTCTATGCCTTCCCTAGTAAGCACCAGTTCTGAGGGAGGGCGGGTCTCAGCTAAACCAGAAACGTCACCTTTCTAGTTCTTCTCTTGTGCCCTTTGTTACTCGTTACCTCTTTAACCTCTGGGACGTGAGTCCGACTCCAGGCGTGCTCACGCCACTCCCCCTCCTGGCTCCTGATCGCTTCGCTGCCTTTCCCCCAGGTCACTGGTGACTTCTTAAACCCTGGTTCACCCTTCATTTTTAAAAATTCACCACCAGTTCAAAGTACTTAACCTCTCCAGGCCCAAGGCACCAAGTGATGGGGGAGGAAAGCATCACCGACCACCATTCAAAGAGCTCTTGGTGTAGTCTTCAGGTTCGGGAACCTTCTAGATTTCTTCTCTGGAGCCTCTCAAGAGCCCCTGCTACTGACATCTGAAGAGGCTCAGCCACACCCCCACGAGCGTCTTACCCTTCTGTGCCTCTACCCCCAAGTTTACTTTGATTTTGCAGAAAATTACGTGGCTTGTTTTGCCTTTAAGGGTTGAAGTATAACATATTACACGTTAAAAGAAAGAAGCTCCATACGGAGGAAAGTCCAACAGACGGCGGGAGAAGACTGCGTTCCCGTCCTGTCATTTTACCTGTCGCGTCCATGAGCACACCGCCAGCTTCGGTGACAATGATGCCAGCTCCCGCCATGTCCCAGCAGTGGATGCCCATTTCGTAGTACGCGTCTGCCGCCCCACTGGCCACCAGGCACATGTTGACCGCCGCGGTTCCAACGCCTCGGATCCTAACAGACAGCATTGAAAAGCGAGACTGAAGAAAGAATGCTTTCAAGAAGGCCTCCCCCTCCTCACCGCGGCTGACTGTGAGTGCTGGCCACGGGAAGCCGAACCAGCCTAGAGGACCCGTGGGAAAAAAGGTCGTATCTACTTTTAAACTAAAATACATAAGATCAGATTACCACGGCACACTATAAAATGACAAAATTAATCCTCACAAAGCAATTTAATCAGCTAAACATTAAGGCAAAGATATTTTCTGGAAAAAAATGAAGAAAACACTATAATTCCGCTATCATGGGATGTATACATATTTATATTTGTCTAAACCCAGTAAAAACAAAGGTTTGAGTTTGCTGCTTAAAAACTGTAATTTTGCAAAGGTTTCTCCTCCAGGTTGGAGCTTTCTTGTCCTCCAAACGGGCCACCGTGCACCTCGGCCACCGGCCGCGAGGACTGTAAACCACGGACGCGGCGCCCGCACGGGACAGTGACACGGGGCCAGGCAGGCCGGCGCCCCGCACAGGGCAGCCAGCGACACAGGGTCCCAAGGCGCCCGCACAGGACAGCGACATGGGGCCGGGCAGGCCGGTGCCGCGTCCGCGAGGAAAACGGCGAAGTCCACCGCAGGAGCCCCCGGCGCTGCACCAGCAGAGGGGACACGGCCACCAGCGGAGGGGACACGGCCGCCAGCTGTGCGCTGACTCGGCCCCTCTCCCTAACTGGAACCTGGAAGCCCTTCACGGCGTCAGGCGTGGATGACGCGTCCGAGGTCGCGCAGAAACAGGAATCAGGTGAACGTGGAAGGTCACAGAAAGAAATCAGTGAGTCTGTCCTTCTTGGTGACACTTTCCTGGTTATACTTTTGAAAAATGTCCTGAAATGAAGGTCACAGCTTACTTTGTCTCCAGGCAACGGAGCAATGGGGGGCTGAAGGCATAAACCACTCGCGGCCCCTTCCTGGCTCACGCGGCCACTCTGTCCCGTATCAGTCCCTTGTTGGATGGCACCCTGGCTAAGGCTTCTGCCGTCGTCCTGCGCTTCCCTCAAGGACGTCACTCTGGAAGGTTCCATAGCTCCCTGACAGCGACGCTTCCCTTTACCATAGAGATCAGAGATTTACAGCCTGGAATTCAGGCCGTGCAGCGGTCACCCTGGACCTCAGTCCTGACCCCTGACAAGTCAACATCGGAAGCAGGGAGGGGTCTGGAAGCCAGGTCCCCGCACAGCGCCCTCTCGCTGTGTGCTCCTAGGCAGCCCCTGTGCCCTTCTGAACCTCAGCCCACTCGCCTGCAAACACGGCCGGATTATTATATGTCCTCTGCTCGGTTCTAACGGTCTTATAACTCAGCGACGACATTTGCAAAGGAAAAAGGTAGAAACAACTGATAGGGAATTAAAACCACAAAAATCTACGGTTATTCAACAGCTCTATCAATATTATTATTATCATGCTACAAGGGTCAGAGAAATGCTACTTAACTTACCCAGCAACCATGTCAAAGTAATAACCTCAAACCTCTAGGTTTTCTTAAAATTTTAAGCATAAGTGGATACACCTGTTTAATATTTGCTTTTAATGTTTTGCTTATAACTTTCATTACAGAACGACTCTGGGTCTGGAGAACAAGCATTCTAATTTAAAACCCCCCTGTTACCTTCCCTCTGAAATAAAAAAAAAAGAAAATCAGTAAGGAGGAAGAGTAAAGCCCAGAGCAGCCATGCCTTCAGCAATTCTAGGAATCTGAAAACAGATTCTCAAACTACGTCCAAGGAGGGGGAGAGACAAACCAGACAGGGAAGGGCAGCCGAGCGCCGCAGCTTATGGCGCAGGGAGCTGCAGGGGGGCGGGAGGCTCTCTGGCTCATCAAGAGCAGATGGAGCAGAAGACGCAGAGGGAACAGACAAACCTCCCCCGCCCCAAGAAAGGGAAAGTGAGGTATGAACACAGATCGCAATCTGGTATTTCACAGCCCGGCTCCTGAGGAGGCAGAGCCAAACATCCCCGAGGAGGCAGAGCCAAACATCCCGGCCCCGGGAAAATCAGATAAGACAGAAGACGTTATTTGCCTGTGGAATCTGAAAAACGCAAAACTCTGAGCTCGTACATACAGCGAAGAGGGTGGTGGTTGCTGGAGGCGGGGCTCAGGGTCAGTGCAGTGGGTGAAGACGGTGGACAGGCACGAACCTCCAGTTGCAAAATAAACAAGGCATGGGACAGCATGGAGACTGTGGTTAATGCGTGCTGCGTGTCAGAAGTTGCTAAGAGAGTAGATCTTAAACGGTCTTATCACAAGAAAAAGAATTCAGGAACTGTGTAGGGACGGAGGCTAACGACTTACTGCCATCTATACACATACCCGCCATGACGTGTGCCTGAAACTAACACGATGCCATCTGTCAATCAATCTCAGTCTAAAAAAATGAGGCGATCCCTCTTGGAGACAATGAAGTGAAGAAAAAGTAGGAACTAAGAGAGAAAAATTAAGGCTCCTGTAGGAATGAAAGAGAAACAAGACATGCCCACCGCCCTCCACCCTCAACAGACACTCACAGGAGCAAATGCACAGAAGACAGAACTGACGGGCTGAGGAGCTCTGAAGCCAGGAACCCCGATCACACGACGGAGACGAACGCAAAGAAGGGGACCACGCCCATACAGCGACGGCAAAACAAAACGCTAGATGCTGCTAATGCGGGTTGTGGGGTCTTTTTGGTTGATAAAGGCTCCCCCCAAAAATCAACAATAAAAGAGAGAAAACTGAAACCGAAAACAACCCAATCTGAATTAAATACCCTCAAACAAATGCTTGTGAATATGGGGGAAAGTGTTAATTCGGAAATATAAAAACTGAACACAGAAATGGAATCCTCCCCTCCCCCCTCAGAAAAGAACGAAACAGAACAAGAGAATTGAACTCAGACAAGAAGTGGAGTAAACAAGACTAAACTACAAGGGACTCCAAAAAGAACAGGTGCGAACGACAGCGCAGGACAGGGCGGGGAGGGGCGACCGCACGAGGAAGGAGTGAAAAGGGCCAGAGCCGCGGCCCGGACGGAAGACGCGAGCGGGGCCGTCGCTCACCGGGGTCTCCGAGGAAGACGACGAAAACGGCAGGCCTCAGCTAATTCCCAAAACTGTGACTCAAGACACTTGGGGAAAAAAGACAGTAATCTACAGGTTGAAGGAGAAAGCTCCCAGAATGAGCAATTCCAAAATATATCCTTGTAAACAACAAGCCATGAAAGATTAAAAGAAAAAAAAAAAAAAATTCCCAGAGGCTCCAAGTGAACCAGGAATAATTTAAGGGCCAAGGAAATGAGACGGGCATCGGATTTCTCAAAACAACATATAAAGAAAAACAGCGAAATTGCATTTTCAAGAAATGTAGTTTGGACTTCCTTTCACTAGGAATGTTCCTATGACGTTTCTGTATTATACTATTTCTGCAAAATTTCTTGTTCGAAACTATTTTCAAGTAGAAGTTTTTAAATTACATTGCGAAATTAGAATTATGGTACTGATCCTATGGCTATTAATAAAAAATGTCATTTCTAAACGAAGATTCATTCTTTAAAATGTTAAGTTACTGGGACTTTTGGGGTGAATGAGAGGAGCTTACCCATGAATGGGAATGCAAAGAAGCTTTTCCATGTTAGAAAGAATAATTCTGACCGTCTCCGGTGTCCTTAAAGAGCCCAGCTCTGTCACCAAGAGGGACTTGGTAATATCTAAAAGAAAATGTGGTACATAATCACGTGAGTTTCATAATAAGAATTCTGGTAAAAATTTGACACTTGTAATTCAGAATAAAATAAGACATTTTTACCTCTCTTTCCAATTGTATCAAATCTGTTTACTTCTAAGGCTTTAAATGTTAAAATACTGATAAATGTATTTTCCCTAAGTGGCCGTTTTACAATCATCAGAGAGGGTAGCTTTTTAGACCATGCCCCCAAAGTGGAGAGTATAAGCACCCGGCCTGCCTGCATGAGGGAGACAAGCAAATACCTTAACTATGTCAAAGTAGAATTTAGAAATTAAATTCAATAAATAACATACACAGATTTAAAATAAAACGAAAGCTAGAAGCGGTAGCTCTCCGTCTGGCCGCCATTTACTGATGTGACAGTGCCCCGTGCTGCCCATCCCCTCTGGAACTGCGACTGCCTTCGTGACAAGTCGGCACGCCTGGTTCACAGGCTACCACAGGGTCCCCACAGGGTCCCCACAGCCGTGCTCACCACCCGTGCCGGTCTGCTCCCCAGATCGTCCTCGACGTGCCTATGATGGCCCTACTTCTTCTAATAAACATGCGATCTAAGTAAATACTATGTAAGAAGAAAAAATAATTATAAAAAG